ATCAAGAAAAGTTGTCAATCAAGCATTTCGAAAAAGCCAAACAATTAAAACGAGTTGCCGATCAATCATTTCGTTTAGCCGAGCAACCAAGAAGAGTTGTTGACCTGCTAATCAAAATTTATCATGGTTGTGGACACAACATTGAACATGGTTCAACTCATTGCCAATCCAAATGATTAAATAGTATACACACCCCATTGTAAGAATGAGGCCAAGGTGGTTTGCCAACATCGTTATTGTGCAAGCGTTCGTGCTAGCCCGGAAAATAAAGACCAAGTTAGGTGTTCATTTGCAGCACTTAACACGATCGCAGCAATTGGTAATCCAAGGAAATTTCTGTCAAGACATAAATAAGTGATCAGTAGCAGCATGCCATAATTCACTATAGTTCATAAACAAACGATATTAGCCAAAGAGATGACAATCAATCACGCATAATAAGAGATGACAATCAATCACGCCAACCCATGACCAACGTCAAGCTACATTGAGGGAAGCACTCTTTCTTGCACTCATCTTTTTTAAAAACCTTTTTATGGTTGCTAAGAAAAAATTATGTTGCTTGATAAAGGTCAATCAGAAGATGGAGCACCATCTTAATCGGCATCGTCGAGCTCTTCTGTAGTGCCCTCTCCATGCAAGAAATAGCTTCATCAACTAAGAAAAAAACAATTAATGAGCGGAACATAGAGAACCGCCGTCGAGCTGCCGACTAACAAAAATCATGTTGGAGAATCATCACTTTCTCTCTAGAAATAGAAAAGTATATGTATTATTTATTTTTCCCAAAAGTTTTGAATACTAACATGAATTGGCCAGGAATAGAATTCAGTGGCCAATAAAAGATGATATCCAATCTATCGAATAAATTAGTTGATGAAGCTCGAACATTCGGCTCGCACCCCGAATTCTCCAAAGAAATTCAGCAACCAAGTTGCTTACAACTGATAATCACGGGTGAGCAAGAGCCTACCAGAATCTAGCAATCATAACATCTTGGGCAAAAAGTTTTCCACGGCAAGACACCCTTCTCAACATTTACTCTATCTTGGAACAAGACCAACATCTGCGTCTCTATTTGCTCTCTCTAAAGAACTCTTGGGCGACCTCTCTCGCCAAGAAGACAACCAGGTTTTTTTATAGGCAACTCGGCTAACACTACAAGGTTTCTCATGCCAAGTCGCATGGTCAGAAGACAGAAATTCAATCAAAGCACTTAAGCTCAATGTTAGCCACCAAGGGAAGCCTACTATCTGTATTATTTTCTAAAAACATTCTTTGTTGTTATACATATACATGTGCATGTAACTGTGCATTTATGGACGTTAGATCGTTGAAATAATCTATAATTGTTTGGGTAGTAATAGTAATAATAAATAGGTAGTCTGTATGGTTAAATAACCTCAATGATTCCTTCTTCTGTTTTGGTCCCTTAGCATAGTGAGGGGAGTTTGTATGCTGATGGTTGTCTTGTTTCTGTTTTTTGGTTTTCTCTTTGTGTTGGATTCTCTCCAACTGGTGCTCCGAGCTGAATGTTGCTCCGAGCTCCTCTTTATTGATGAACTCTATCATCTTTTGTATAATTCCATCAATAAAGATTCTTTTTGCTAATAAAAAATAATAATAATAATAATAATAATAAATAGGTAGTCTTGTGTTCTTCTCCATCTAAAAACAAAAGTAACTATTTATGTCATCTATGTTAGGTCCCGAAGTCTTGTCAATCCCACGAACAAACTTGTGTAATCGAGTTGTAATTTCTGTGCTGTTTTGTGTTGCTCGCTCGAGCGAAGAAGGACTCGCTCGAGCGAAGGACTGCGTCTGGCTGCAAACCTGAAAGAGGTCATTGTGCGCTCGAGCGAAGCATTGGAGGCTCGAGCGAAGAACTACATCTGCGACAAACCTGAAAGTGTTTATTCCTCGCTCGAGCGAAGACTTTATGGCTCGAGCGAAGGTACTTATGGAAGACACGCGAGATAAGCTTCTCGCTCGAGCGAGATAAGCTTCGCTCGAGCGAGCGTAGGTTCGGTCCTTGGTTTGCATATGTGCACGCACGCATTTCGAGTGTCTCATTTTCATCTCATGGCCTCCTATGTGAGTGTGGCTGAGGTCCACTCATGTTGGTGTAAGCCCATATTGCATTGTGTATGCCATTTCATTTCATAGCATTGCGTATGCTAGGTTGTATGTTAGCGCATTGTGTATGCCATGTTGTCTCGTGCATCGTGTATGCCATTTCATAGCATTGTGTATGCTAGGTTGTATATTAGTTGCATTCATGCATGTCATGCATATTGCATTGTGCTTGGGATAGGGATTAGCCCAGGCACGGGAAACGAGTACCACATTGTTAGGACCCTTTGTTGTCAAAATCCATGGATCAAAACCAAGGTTGTTACAGGTTTCAGTTTTCCAGTTTTTCAAAATTTGGTCTCCCCGCTCGAGCGGGGAAAGTGACGCTCGAGCGGGGATTGGTAGCTCTCAGCATCTCTACAGTCGCCTAACAAAGTACTTGATGGTGTGATTCGACGCTCGAGCGTGGAAACTGTCGCTCGAGCGTGGAGCCTGTATGAAATCACCGAAGTTGAAGTCTCCGCTCGAGCGGGAAGACCCACGCTCGAGCGGACCGCGCGATCCCAGATTTTATAAATTCGCTGGTTGGGTCTGTTTCAGATTTACTTTTCCTAGATCTTATTCAAGAGTCCTAGGGTTTTGTTCATAGGTTTACTCTGGGTTGTTTTGTGAGTTTTTCCTTGATGTTTTGAGAAGAGTCTTCACTCATGATCTAAAATACATACATCAAGGAGTTGGTTACTTTATCTTCAAGAGAGAGTTCTCTTCGGTGGATTTCGAAGATTCAAGCATATAGTTTCAAAAAGCGTTTGATTCTATACGTAAGTGAGGTTGTGGAATCAACTTCACGATTGATCAGTTCCGAGACGAAGTCGTGGAAAAAGAGTTACAGAAGATTCGAAGATAGATTGACTGAGTTGGGTAATTTGTATGATCTCTTTGTAATCTTTTTACTTCAGTAGTGGATTGATTAGTGGCGTTTCGCCCGTGATTTTTTTAATCACAATTGGAGGTGTCCAATTTTGGTTTTTTCCACGTAAAAATCGTTTGTGTCGATTTATTAATTATTCCGAAAAAAAACAATCTAAATAACTTTCGTAAGTGCTTGTTGATTTAGATTGTGTGTTTTGGATTTCTGGGATTTGGAATATTTTAATCTTGATCTAATCACGAATCACTTAGGATTTTCACTTGGTATCAGAGCGGGTCACTCTTTTTTTTAAAAAATACAGGAGTGTGATTTTGTGTGACTAGTGATATGAATTCTATTCGTGAAGGTATCTCGACCCATAGACCTCCTTTACTCGATGGTACAAACTATTCTTATTGGAAAGCTCGTATGAGAGTATTTTTAAAATCCATCGATGAGAAAGTAGCCACAGGGCTAAATGTTTCAGTATAGTGAATGCCCTCTTGTTGTAAAAATCCCTTAGCAACCAACCGAGCTTTATATCGGGCAATAGAGCCATCATTGTTGCGTTTGATTCGAAAAACTCACTTACAACCAATAGCCTTCTTAGTAGAACGAAGTGGGACAAGAGACCAAGTACCTTGAGCAAGTAAAGCATTATATTCTTCAAGCATAACTGAATGCCAAAGAGGTGAAGCAAGAGCTTGTTGATGAGAAAAAGGTTCAATATCTGTAAAAGAAGGAGTAGTACAAGCTATAAGACCCTTAGTTTTAGATATGTAAGCATGGGATGAAAATTAGTAGAAGAAGAAGAAAGTGGAATAGGTGAAGCTGAAGAAGGTAGAGAAGGTAAATGAATTTTCTATGCAAAACTTAGTGATATCGTGAATTCCTGTTTCACACTCAGGGAAAAAATCCCGGAAGCTAAAATTGTTGGAAAATTTTTGAGGTGTTTACCCGAGAGGTTCCAACCAAAAGTGACAGCCATTGAGGAGGCTCAGAATGTTGATACCCTCAAGCTCGATCAATTGGTTGGAAACTTGCAGACTTATGAAGCACACCAGATTTCAAAGAAAAAACAAAAAGAAAGTGTGGCTTTTACTAGTGCTCATGAGTCTGCAAAAACTCCGGAGGTTGAATTTGATTTAGAGTCTGAGATGACGGCTATGCTTACTAAACAATTTAAAAAAATTTTGAAGAAAAAGAAGCCTAATTTCAGAGACCCTATTTCAAAAGACAAGAGTAATGAAAAACCCAAAACTTTTCCACCAAAACTTGCTTCAAAAACTGAAAAGAAGATTGTAAAGGGGCAAGGGGTAGAGCTTTTGATCCAGAAGGCTGGCAGGCCATTGAAGAAGATACAGACAGAGCTGACAATCCGAGCAATCAGAGAGCCCTGATCACTATTCGTGGAGCAATTTCTACTGAAGAACAGCAACGGGTTGTTCGTTGCACAAAGCCTAAAGAGGCATGGGAAATTTTGAGCCAATTCCATGAAGGAGGAAATTCACATTCACCACCATCCAGCAACTTTTCAGTCTTAGTTGCTAGTTTGGAAGAGGCAAAGGAGAATGAAGAGCAAAAAGAGGATGATGAAACATCTGATGACAATAATGAGATCAATGGCGATAAACTACAACAAGCTTACGAAAAGCTATACGAGGAATCTCTGAATTTGTCCAAAACCAACGACAAACTCTCTCTCAAGATCAAAACATGTGAGAGTGAGAATGTCAGGCTGAAAGGAGAACTTGTAGCAGCAAAGCAGAATATCGTCAAGATCTCGAGTGACAGGCAAGACTTATGTGGAAAATTACTATCCTGTGAAACTGAAAGGAATGAACTTCTGAAGGTGTATTCCACATATGAAGAAAAGCTTGAAAGTCTTGAGCTATCACAAGCCAGATTGGAAGAGATAGTCTTTCAAAAGGATGAAGAGCTTCGTCTTCCTAGAGCCACTATTGCCATGTGGAACAAAGGTTCCAAATCTTTAGAAGACATCCTCGGGTCTCAACAAATGGGTTGCGACAAAAGCGGGTTAGGCTATGGTGCAACAGTTCACAAGGGACAGGCCTCTACTTCATATGACAAGAAGACTCAAGCAAAGAGAAAATTGAAGGTAGACCAGGCTGATCTCTCTCTTCATCCACCAAAAGCTGGTAAGATCAACAAAAAGGAGGTAAAACCGGTTTTTATTTGTCATCACTGTGGTAGGTATGGCCACATTCGTCCTAATTGCTATGAATTGTTTGGTAAGGTGTCTCAAAAGAGTAGAAATTCAAATACTTTTTGGGCTAGGAGACAACCTTACATGTCTAGGCGGAATACCAAGACTAAAAAGATTTGGGTGAGAAAAGATGATTTGACTTGTTTAGTTGTTCACACTGCTCTAAAAGCACGTGATTCACACATGCGGTATCTTGATAGTGGGTGTTCTCGTCATATGTCCGGTAACAAATCCTACTTCACCTCCCTTGAAAAATATGAAGGAGGAATTGTTACCTTTGGAGATGGCGGCACTTCGAGAGTCATTGGTAAGGGCTCTATAAGTGTTGCTGGTCTTCCCAAGCTAGATAATGTTCTACTAGTTGATGGTCTTAAAGCAAATCTTTTAAGCATTAGTCAAATGTGTGATTCCCATCATGCAAGCTGATAATTCAGAATTTTTTTATGTCCTGGATTTGGATGAAGATGGCACATTACTAAATGTATTTTGGGCTGATGCAAGGAGTAGTGCTGCATTTAAAGAGTTTGGCGATGTGGTTACATTTGACACGACATACTTGGTAAATAAGTATGATATGCCCTTTGCCCCATTTATTGGGGTCAACCATCATGGACAGTCGACATTGTTAGGTTGTGGACTCATTTCACATGAAAATACAGAAACATTTACATGGTTGTTTAAGTCTTGGCTTGCATGCATGTCTGGATGTCCTCCAAATGCTATTATTACAGATCAAGATAAAGCCATGAAAAATGCTATACAAATTGTTTTCCCTAATGTGCGTCATCGATGGTGTTTGTGGCATATCTTGAAAAAATTACCTGAAAAATTGAGAGGATACAACGAATTTGAGGCAATAAAATTTGGTATACAGAATGCAGTTTATGATTCCTTAACAAAAAAGGAGTTTGAAGAAAATTGGAACAAATTGATAGAGAATTATCAACTTGAAGGCAATGAATGGTTATTTGGATTGTTTGAGGATAGACATCAATGGGTACCTGCATTTGTCAAAGATATTTTCTGGGCGGGAATGTCAACCACACAACGAAGTAAAAGCATGCACACATTCTTTGATGGGTACATCAACTTAAAAACCACTTTGAAACAATTTGTGGAGCAATATGAGAATGCTTTGGCGAAGAAGGTGGAAAATGAAAATGGTGAAGAATTTAATTCTCTCAACTCATACATCCCATGCATAACTCAGTATCCATTTGAGAAGCAATTTCAAAAAGCTTACACTGTTGCAAAATTTAAGGAGTTCCAACAGGAGGTTGTAGGACAGCTTCATTGCAATTTATCTTTGTATACACAAGGTCCTAATTTTTCTGTATATGAAGTGAGTGAAGATGTTCCATTTGGAGAGAACCTTCGATTAGCAACTTTCATTGTCTATTTTGATAAGGAAAACTTTGACACAAATTGTAGTTGTCGACTATTCGAGTTTAGGGGAATAGTGTGCAGGCATCAAATTGTGGTATTAATGAAAGAAAGGGTTCATGAGATACCAGACAAGTACATTTTAAGAAGATGGAACAAAAATGTGAAAAGGTGCCATAGTAAAGTGATCATCAATTATAACAACTCTTCAATGTTGCCTGAAACACGTCGGTATAATAAAATGTTTAATGTCTTCAATGATGTGGCTGATTTGGCAAGTGATTGTGAAAATAGGTGTGATATGGTGGTCGAACAGTTACTTGAACTAAAAGGGAAATTGAAAGAAGAAGTTGAAATTGATTATGGAAATAATAAGTCTAGTTTTGTGAGTAATCTTCATAATTCAACCACTCATGGAGATGGTGTTTCGAAGTCAAAGGAGAGTAGAATCATACTTGATCCAGTCGGTTTAAGTCAAAAGGGGAGGCCACGATGTAAAAGGAAACAATCCATGGTTGAAAAAGTTGTTAACAAGAAGAAGAAAGGAGCAAATACCAAGAAAAAGACCATCAACATCCGAGGAAGTGTAGAGGTGTGAAAATTATTTGAATGAGTTAATTTACTATTAAAAAAAAAACTATTATTTTGTTAACTTTCAAATTTTATATTTTGCAGCAATCCGAGTTTGGTGCATCTTCAAATATAGGACTTGTTGATCTTGGTACACAAGAGAGTATTCAAGTGAATGTAAGAAATTTATTTTATTCATTAACTTTATAGTTATATGATTTATTTATAGTTGGATTGTCTAATTGCTTCTTATATGGCAGGAATCTGAAATATTGGGTCCAAGTTTAGAGCAACAAAACATATTTCAAGAAAACTTGTCATACCAAGTACGTAATATTGTAGTATGTATTTATTTACATGGTTTTATGAAAATTTAATATATTTTATTTTTTTTGATAGGGGCATCATCATCCATCTCCATCTTTGATATTCGAACATTCAAGTTTCACAAAAATGTTGAATGACATAGTACAATCACAGACTAACAATCCAGAAGAGGACACAAATGGTAGAAGTTGAAAATGTCTACCTGACAGGGTTGCTTAGACATTTGTTGCCTTTTTTTTTTTAAAGTTTATTGAGAATGTTTATATTACATTTTGAGAGACTTATTTGTTAAAACACAATAATTTTTGTGTTGGATTATATAGTTGAACTATACATTGCAGCATTATCAATTATTAGAGTTTATTGTGAAACATTGAAGTTTTTTTTCTCATGAAATGTGATTTTTTTTTTCCACATTATGAGTAAATTACCATTAAGAATTTTTTTCTTCATTATGAATAAATTTTATTTGTTCTTTAATTTGTGATCTCAACCAAGCCCATTAACAGGTTATGTTTGTCATTAAAAATTAAGAAAAAGTCAATGAGGAGTTGCTAGTAACAATATCAATAAGAGCATGACAAAAATAAAGGTTGCGTTTGGTAGAGTTTTGTAAATGTGATTTGAGAGTATGAGTTGTATTTTGAATTTGTGAGTTGTGGAATTATGATTTGAGTATAGAAAATTTGTTTAGTTATGATTTTTGAAAAGAGTGTTGAATTGAATTTTGAATTGAGTATGGAATTGACAAAAATATTTTTATAAAATAGAGTTTGAATTTATTTTTATAAAATATTTTAAAATTTAAAAAAGTAAAATCGTAATATTTTGAAATTAAAATATTTAAAAATATTCAAAAAATTAAAAAATTAAAAAAATCGTAACATATTTAAATATTAAAATATTTAAAATCTTAACAAAATTAAAATATTTTTTAATGAGTGTGAATAATTTTAAATTGAGTGAAAAGGGTCAGCGCTCATCAACAGATATATAGAAGGCATTCAACTTTCTTTCTAGTCTTTCCAACTTCTCTTATTTTTAATTTTTAATTTTTTTAATAACATATGGGAGCTCCACCAAAATGAGTTGGTCAATGCCACCTCATTCATGATCCATTTCCTGATAAACCTTTCCTGACCCGTAGCATTATTCTTACATAATATATATTTGATTATCATGTATATATGCATTGTGTTTATAGAAAAAAATAAAAATAAAAAATACCATCATTATTTTTTGGTTATAACATGGTCAAACCTAACTCAACAAATTGAAAAACCCCTATTTTTTTAATAACATATGGGAGCTCCACCAAAATGAGTTGGTCAATGCCACCTCATTCATGATCCATTTCCTGATAAACCTTTCCTGACCCGTAGCATTATTCTTTAAAAAAAATTAGATCGATCTAATAATCATAATTTTTGCATTTTATTGTGTCTAGAAGAAATGAATTATCTATTTTAAAAACATATTTTCATTCATTTTTTTTCAGAGAAATACAACAAAATGAAAATGTTATGATAATTGGATCGACTTAATTTTTTTTTATAAATGATATACATAGAAGGTCTTACAAAATGAATAGCTTGAATTTATTGAAACGAGACTCGTGATAAATTACAAGCCTAAATATGACGATCAAATTTATTTTTAAATTTGAGAGAAGTCCAATCCTTAATTAAAATGAATTAATATCAATAGTTTAAAGTTGTAATTGCTCAAATGGATAGTTCACAAGTGTAGTGCTACAAATATAATAAATTTGAGTAGACAAAGTGAGTTTTTTCCTTTGTTATATATATTTTTTTCTCTTTGATTTTTTTATCAACAAATTTCAGATCTAAATATAGCGTCAGTTATGGGAAATCCAAACCAAAACCTATTGGAATTTCCAATCTGTCCAGGTAATTTTCCACACATTCATTCATGAATCTATTGTTCTTTAAACCATTTCCAATGATTCATCAAATAGATCATCAAATTTAAATTTGATAAAAAAATTTTACTTTTTGTTGCTCTAATGGTTCATCAAATCTAGAATTTCTCAAATCTTTTATCAAATTGAGGAGGATGGATGTGTCTTTCATTAAATCACTATTCATTGTCTTTGGATTTTCACCACCGAATGTCTCCCAGATGACCATTTCAAAGCAAAAATTTATAAAAAAATTTACACTGGTCGGTCGACCAGCCAGACATTCGGCTGATCATCTACCAGGTCGACCGGTGGTTTGATGAAGCTCCGTTGAAGCACTTGATATCAAAGGAAGGTTTTACTCAAATTTGGTGAAAATAAAAAAAGATGAACCGTTAGAGATACACTTATAAGCTAGTGTTGGGTGGTAAAAAAAAAAATTCAAAACTTAAAACGGAAACACATTTTTTGTGTTTTCATTTTTTCGCTAAATTTTTAAACTGAGACCACTGATTTATAAATAAAAAATTTTACCAAATAAGTTTTTATTTGAATTTTTAAAATTTTTATAAATATAAACAGTTTTTATTTGAGTTTTTAAAATTTTTGTAAATATAAACAAAAAACTGAAAACATAAGTGTTACATTTTTTCAATTTCAATTGCAACTTCAATCCCAAATTTTGAAATTGACAAACCCTAAACCCTAGTTTTGAAATTGAAAAACCCCAAATCAAAAATCAAAATCCTAAAATTTGAACTTGTGCGTGATATTGGACGGTGGGAAGGAGAGGTGCAAGAGCTCGGACCAGATGGAGAGGTGAGACAGCTCTATTTCAGTTTGCTTTGTTCTTTGGTTTTTGTCATCCAAAGTCGTGGTCAGAGAGAGAAGTGAAGACGAACGCAAACATGGGAACTCTAACAGAGGACTGCCTATTGCGAGCAGTAGCCACCTACGACGTCTTTCCTCTTTCGTCTTCTGCTCTTCGTCTTTCCTCCCTCCCTCTCTGCCTCTCTCTTACACACACACACACACACACACACACATTCACTCACTCAACCGTTAGTGTTAACATTTGGTCCCTTTTTTTGGGGATATGCATTGTACCATCACCCCAGAGAAAATCTCACCAGAGGATCTGAATGCTTGAATAATTTCCGGTTGTGTTGCTGTTCGATTTTTTTTTTTTTTCTCTTTTTGCTTTTTGCCTCGAGTGTAATTACCCCTTATAATTAATTTTTTTATTTTCTCCTTTTGCTTTTTGTTTCTGGAGTGTAATTACCCCTATAATTAAATGAATATATGCCTAAGATAGCCCTTAGCCAACAGGAAAGAAATTGCCACCCTTTAATAAGTAAGCTTATTTTATATGAATGGTATGGTAGCCTACTATCAAGATTTTATTTTATTTTTTTATTTATTTTTGCTATGTACAATCAAGATTAAGAACAAGAAAAAAGAATGTGAGCATAAATCATATGAATCTCTCAACAGTAACCCATACTAATATGGAAAGGAAAAATTAATAATAGTAATAATGCACTCTAGAAATATTAATATACAAAATTCTCTCATCTTATTTGTAAACCAATTGAGCTTTGTTTCAAGGATTCTTAACTACAAGTAGAAAATTGTTTAGGGAGTGTTTTTCTTTTATGACATTTCTATGTTAACTAATTATCTTATTTATACATTATTCAGTTTAAAAGGTGAATATAAAAAGTGAACTTATATCATTTTTCTTTCCAAAATTATGTCACTAAAAGTGTTTTTTTTTTTTAAACTTTTTGGGATTGACAACGTCCCATTATGGATTCATAGACTGAACTTGACAGGTTTCACTGCGGAAAGTCCCTCGCTACACAAGTCGCATCACCACATTCGTTCAGTCGGGTCGCCAAAGCTGCGGTGATGAAGGCTGACAAGCACGATTGATCGGAACTAGAGTCTCACGAGGGATTTAGCAGTTCCGTGGCTGCATATTCAGTCGAGCACATGTGACTGAGTCGCCCGTACCTGAGCTCGAGAAACATTTCTTATACTGACCTACTCTCCTCCATTTCACGAGCAGTGGAGACAACGTTTCACACGTTGCCTTCACTAACTGAGCTGACAAGGGTATGAATGAAGTCGAAGCAACAAGTGTACTTCGGGAACTCTTCTCCACCGCTTCGTAGCCGGAGCAGACACGTGGAGTTCACTGGAAGGGAGAATGGCGGGAATGATTTCTTGCAATGCAACGGAACTCAAAGCCTGTTTCATAGGCTGTACTCATACTCACCGGCTACACGGAACTCGTCTAACAAGTTATCGTCAAGTCTACGTGGACTTCCTCGTTAAGTCTGAGTGGTCGAGTGAATTTATAAACGAGCTATAGACAGAACTTGGTGGAGCCTTTGGAACTCGTATCCATAATCGTGAAGTTTAGTCTACGGAACGTAGACTTCATTCACAGCGGAACTTGTCTCTATTCTGCTATTCCCTTTTGTTTTGAGGCAAAACTCACTAAGTGGAGGCCGAGGCGGACTGCAATTCTAGTGAGATTAGTCCTCTGTTCTGACCCGATTAGAGGCTGAGGAAAGGGCACTCTTTCAGAAAACCCCACTTAAAACATATGACGACCCCCCAGTCCACTTCCATTTGTCCTTCTTTCTTGTGGTGGAACCTGGCATTCACCCTCCCATAAGTGATTATCGCCAAAACAAAAAAAAGACATCTTGAAGCATAAATTTTAGGAAAATATTTGGTAACTCAAAATTTTGTGGCTCAAATGGCTTAAATCTGTCAAAACGACGTCGTTTTATACTCATTTACACTCAAAACGACGTCGTTTTGAGTGATTTGAGCCATTTGAGCCACAAAATTTTGAGCTACCTAGCATTGTCGATAAATTTTATTATTAAAGGGGAGAAAATTTAGTCAATAGTCTAAAGATGACAAAAGTATCACATTCTTGTGCCTACCTTTGGATCCTCTACAGTGATAATGGTGTAGCGATCCTCTGGAGTGAAACAGGAGAGCGCCACGTGTCCCATTTTGAGGTGAATGGCTGAGATTAGTGGTCATGAAAACCAAGTCCTTTTAATTATTAAAAAAAAAAAGAGGCAAATTACCAATTCTCCAAGTTTGACTAAAATACAATTTTTTAAAAAAATTTAAGAAATTATATCTCGTCTTTTGAGATTATATTTACATAATAAATTGTCTTTTTTATTATGTAAATATAAACCTTAGAAAATAATTTATAATTTTTCAAACTTCAAAAAAAATT